GACAATACTTTATACTGTAAACAATGTAGCATTATATGTCAATTGAAAACAAAACAGACAATACTTTGTACTGTAAACAATGTAGCATTATATGTCAATTGAAAACAAAACAGACAATACTTTATACTGTAAACAATGTAGCATTATATGTCAATTGAAAACAAAACATACAATGCTTTATACTGTAAACAATGTAACATTATATGTCAATTGAAAACAAGACAGACAATACTTTGTACTGTAAACAATGTAGCATTATATGTCAATTGAAAACAAGACAGACAATACTTTATACTGTAAACAATGTAGCATTATATGTCAATTGAAAACAAAACATACAATGCTTTATACTGTAAACAATGTAACATTATATGTCAATTGAAAACAAGACAGACAATACTTTATACTGTAAACAATGTAACATTATATGTCAATTGAAGACAAAAGATTAGTTGATTTGGAAAATCTAAGATAATGATCACAAATATCAGACAGTCTTAACAATAAATTACCGATTTTATTTTTGAGTTTACGATCAGGTATTAGGCACTCCACTAGCACATTTAGTTCTTTTATTGCTAACAGACATTTTATATCAACACTTACTTTGGAGATGTCATTCTTTCCTAGACCTGCCTGAAAAAGAGCTTCCTCTATTGGCTGCTTACACTGTTGTAATACTGGGCCAATAACTGATTCAAATCTTGCTCTAAAAGATGAGACAGATGTAAAAACATACTTAGAATATACTATATCAAAGTATCTTTGAACTAACAAATTTTTAAAATTCATAACTAAAATTCCACATCTTTAATATAGCTAACAAGTAAGAGAGCTTATGGTTTTACTTAATTTTAAACAACAGAAGTGGATATTATCCAGCAATATATGTGTCTAGCATATATTAGGGAAAGTAAATATTTGTGACCAGTGGTACTGAGCTATGTGCAAGTTTAAGTAAATCACACAGCTTTATCATCTGTGGAAGTAAGTTGAGATATATGTTGCGAGTGTTTTTTACACCTACTCTTATTCTTATTCCAAAGAATATATTTACAGACAAGAATAAAAACAAAAACTAGATTAATAAAGTCTCATTGGTGCTGATATAACTAAAAACTGATAGGATACATTTATTCATTTCATATTAGAGCTACTGCAACAACTGATAAACAGCTATATTATCACCCTTCCTGGAAGCAAAAAAATAACTTTACCCATGTAAACTTTTTAAAATGTTCATGGTGTTTTGCATTTATGACTTTCTTATGAGCAACGTGTGAACAGTTGTAAACTTGTACTAATTCAAACTTCAGACTAGGATTGTATACAAACCATTTCACGGAGCCTTTACTTGCCTGGTCAAGCTTCTGGGTCATTACACTCTTAGGGTGTAAGTGATACTCACAAGAAAGAACAACAATACAGTTGTTCTAGATTGAACTGGACCTCCCTTGAACTTATACTTCGAGATTTAACAATTTTTGGAATACTAAGTTTATTTATTATATCTGCTATTATGCGGCTATATAATGTGAAGAATGAATAGTGACCAATGACACTTTTTCTTCACTTCACCTATCCAGTGTATAGGTTTTTCTCATAGTGACTACAAAGCACGTTCATACCAACAGTATGTTTGATACGTTTCACTATGGTATAGGTCCAGCTTATCTCTCTTGTGTTAACTTGTGTTCAGGGTTACTGATGAGGAGTGGAATTAACCGACACTAGTATAACCCAATAACACACCTTGATTAAAGTGTAGATTGAACTGGACCTCCCTTGAAGTTAGATTTTGAGATTAAACAATTTTTGGAATGCTAAGTTTATTTATTATATCTGCTATTGTGTGGCTATATAATGTGAACAACTGAATGACACTTTTTCTTCACTTCACCTATCTGCTCCTCATCAGTAACTCTGAACATAACCAGAGATATACAAGTTGGGCTAATATCTTTACATATCCAATGTGTAGTTTTTTGTTTTTTTTTACAGTGACTATAAAGCACGTTCACATCAACAATATGTTTGATTTGTAGAGTGAATGCTTTTTTCCACCTGGTTCTATAAGTCAGACCAGTAAAAATGGTCAGTAAAAGTGTCAAGTGAGACCCCAGCATTTTTGTTACTTGTACGAAATAATAGTTGTCTCTTGTTCACAAGTGCATGGTTCTTTTTACTTTGTTCAATTTAGTTACCATAAAGTAATTCTTGAATTTACTATTTATGCAAATCTTAATACCTGAATGTTGGATGTCACTGAACATAAAAAGTTATTAAGTAGCATTTGGGTGTAATAACCAAGAATTTATTTTTGTAGAGTTTATTTGAAATGTGCAAGACAAAATGATCAGTATGTACCAGAAGATCAGAGGGAGGAAAAACCAAAAATGGTTGGGAATCTCGTTCATGTACCAAGTAAGGACAAGGTGAATAAGAGATAGGGGAAAAGGATAAAACATCACAAACCCGTAAAGATGCAAAATCCGTAAAGACCAAATTAGGCTTAGGTGATTCCTCAGGCTGCAAATGGGAAGGAACAGCAAACTCAGGAGGTGAGAAAAGACAATCAAAGTCCTCATCACTCTGAACAAGTTCAGTCAACTCAGGAGGGGCCTGGGCGATGTCTAGGGACAAAGGGCGACCCATGAAGCGCTCAATCTCCTGAAGTGTAAAAGCAGAGAGATCCATTGTCAGGTCGATCGCACCCGAGGACTGAGAAAAAACGCTGGTCGCTGGTGTGACCCCTGAAGTGGTAACATGAACTTCAGAATTCATAGCACAAGTTTCACAAAATTCGAGTGCCAAAATATATATAAATGAGCCATGTAGGTGAAAAAAAAAAAATTGTTTGCCACACTAGAAACACAGAGTATGTGTGAACTCAAATGTTGCTAAACAAAAAGTGAAATTCAGTAGATGAGTGTAGAGAGAATCCCATGCGTAATGTGAGCATATCATGCAACTATTGGTTAAGAGATGATGCATGATGATTTACATGAGATATGTTGGGGAGTGGAAAGCTTGTGGCATGCACAAAGCAAAAGTTTGCATATAGATGGCAGCACTGAATGACATTAGGTTATCTTGTGAGGGGAGGTAAAGTACCATATCAGAATAAGCCTTCTCCACAGTCCTTACACTCCACTTATGCAATCTCTTAGGGCTTCCTTTATACTCCATGACAATTAATAGGAAGCAAAAAAATTGATGCCCATAAAAACATTTTGTGTATAAAATATGCATATTGGGGTGCTAAATGTACCATAATTAACCTGTATGCAGTTTTTGGCCGTAATATTTTTTTTCACATGAAATTCACTTACTTTTATCAGTTTTTGTCTATAAAACGAAATTCTCTAATATTTCCCTGGCCAGTAATGTAAAATAAAATATAATGACTTTCCTCAGTTTTCCTGACCCAGGGGGATTATGCATGCAGAACCACTTACGTATGAAAGACATTTCTTCTCTGACTAACACTATTTTTGTGCTAAAATGGTTCAATTTGGTTATATCAGTCTGGAGTAGAAGGCAAATTGATATCAGTAGTACCTTCGAAATTATAAATATTTACTTGACATGCTACAAATATAATATAGTGTTGTTGCCATATATAGCTGTGGTAATAGAATCAATGAAAAAATTACCATCTAGAAATCAGACAGCAGTTACTCCAACAGTTATCTGTCAGAAAGTTAGCATTGTGTAGGTGTTTGGGCAGTGATTATGGACATTCAAATATTCAGCTTTTAGGCAAAACTGTCACTGTCATCACAGTATCAGAAATAGAGGTTACATTAAGCAACCTTGTTGGCTGGCATCACTACAACTGTACCATGTTTGAAAACAATCATTTCTAGAGAATCTCAAGCTGCTAGTTGAGGAATGTGCCATCAATCTGAGTTCAATGCGAAGTCAGGAACTTTGTGACTTGCTCATGGAATTTGCAGATGTATTTGTACAACCTAATGGGCATCAGGGTTATACTTGTCACCTTGACATACTAATGGAGCTTAAACTTAAAATAATTGCAATGATATCTCATCTACAGGCCAGAACAGATAGGGGGGGGGGGAGTTGGCATGGGCCTACAATTTTGAGGGGGCCTACTCCCTCTTTAGAGGCAAAGGGGGGACACTTTGGTAAAGAATATTGATATTGTAAAGAGAGTCAAGAATATTAGCAAGCATTTCAGTCATTAGGAATTCTTTAATTGAAGGCAGTGCTATCTTATCCTCATCAAGAATGTTTATCCATCCTTAACAATGATGCCAACAAGTGTGATATTGGAATGGTTTTGTCAAACACATGATGGCATGGATCATGGAATGCTGCATGCAAGCCAAACATTTAATGGTTTCTAAACAACATAATAGAAAAAGCAAGGAACTGCTCGCAGTTGTTGTAACAATCAAACACAAGCACAATACTTTTCAAATAAACCAAGAGTCATTAAAATTGTTAATGAACTATAAAAATCCTGAAATTATGAATGCATTTTGGATAATTATGCTGCAATACTACAATCTTGCCTAGATAAACAGAATATATATATTATTTTGGAAACAAGAGGTGTGTGTGTGTGTTGTTCGTATATTTTTGAAATTATCACCAACAAGTTACAGACACCTACTGTAGAAGAATCTTTAGCCCAACTTACTAAATACTACTACTATATATAATATTAAGAAGAATAAACCCATAACAGTTTTAAAAAAGATAAGAAGTATAGTTTATTCGGTCAAAGTGAGTTCAAAAGTAATTGAACCAGCCTGGGTGCACTTTAACAAAAGGAACAGATGATATCTGAAGTATGAGGACCAGACAATTACTGAAAGAGCAGTATACGACTGTGGTAACTCACATTATAATTGTAAGTGGATTATACACAGAATACTAGTGTAATAGAAATAGAGAAAAGTGGTTCAGCTTGTCAATTGAATAGGGCTAAGTGGATTTTTGACAACAAGAAGAGAACAACATATAGTGTTTATGATATGCCTATGATCTCTATAGTGCATAGAATTTGTTGTAAATACATTTAACTTAATTCAAATATATATATATATATATATATATCTATTTTATATATATATATATATTATTTAGAAACAAGTGGAGTGCATACTGTTTGTTTATTTTGAATTTATCGCCAACAAGTCACAGACACCTACTGTAGAAGAATCCTTACGCCCAACACCCATAT